AAAGGAAAGGACGAATAACTAACGGTTTCAGAGAAAAATCCAATCCCAAAATTAGACGAACCTTCCACGACAATGAAACGTGACACCCACCAAAATCACCCTACGAAACGATTCTCCTTTTCCTCCTTCCCTGAGAACTCTCCCATCTCTCCCTGGCCACTCGACACGTTTGCGTACCAGTGTGACAGCAAATAAATGTCTCGGTATCCGGTATACACGGTTCTACCTTCCACGCCAAGAAGGTCGAACGTGGCGCGTTTCGTTCGAAGAGTTCGAAGCGTATCCGCGCCGCTGGAGCGAGCAGCCACCGAGACAGCGTGAAGAGGAGCGAGGAAAGGGAAGTGAAGGAGGAGGAGGAGGAGGCTCATCCGAACAGGGTCCTCGCTTCGTTCGACGGGATGGGAATAAGGAGTTTATTTTCGGTGGCCATATGCGCGGTTTATTTCGACAATCCGTGGCGGTCACCCTCCAAATAGAGATAGAGCCCTCCTTCCTCGGTTCAAACCGTATTTTTCGATGCCTCCCTCCTTTTTTTTTTTTCTTTTTTCTTCTCGTGTCATCCTCCACACGCGAGTCGATCCCCGGATAAAAAAAAATGACGGCACGCAGACCCGTGACATTAATTGCTACCTGCCTACCTGTCTGAATTATCGCGTTATCGTAGCGTTTAAGGCTCGTCCCTCTCTCGTTATCCGTCCCACCGCTTTCGTGGGATTTCGTATGCAGTTTTGCTAATGATCACGTGTACGACCGCCTCATTAGTTCTCGATCACGATTATCACCGCCGTTTCTCCTTATTATTTTCCTCGACGAATCAACCTGTGCGCGCACAAAGCTCGCCTTAAACCTTTGAACTCTTTTCACCAGATACCATCTTCCGCTCGATTTTAAAGCGTTTTTATACACGTAGTATATATACGTATATACATCATTGCATACGACGAGAGACTAATAGTCGCGTGTAATTAACCATTCTTTCTTACTGGGAGGCTCGATGAAAAAAAAGAAAAAAAACTTTCGCTTCGTTCGAGATACCGTTATCGGCGGAACGAAGCGTGGCACCGAGACAGAGAGGAGGCTGTTTCTGAAGGCAGCAGTCACTTGCTCGCCGCGTAGGGACCGCGTGTTTTGACCGTGTCCGCTCCTCCTCTAGAAATAGCGTATAGTCAGGCCGACGTGAGACTCGGCTTATTCTTGACCCATCGGCTAAGTATAGATCGCGACAGCTCGAAAGAAAGAAGCCAACCAGAGAAGAAGGGGTGAGGGGCGGGGGGACGCGTACGTGTTTTCTGCTTTTGCTGCCGGGGGGTGCCAGGGGGTGGAGAGAGAGCCCGGGGG